AAAACATTTGGAGCATTTTTTGAGAAAATATTGTTTTTGTAATTTTCTAAAATTGCAAATATTTCACGCAATATTTCGCAAAAACTACTAAACTAAATGTTTAAAAGATATACATGAAATAAATAAAGATAACAAATTTCATTTAAAGGAAAAACTCTTTCTTCAATTTTGTAGTTATAGTAAGACACCGAAAAAAATTCTAACTTTTGCAATTTTGGAAAATTCAGAGCTGACCGTGAAAATAGGACCTATGCCAGCTTCATCAGTGTGTTTTACTCTATTCTTACATGGAATTTAAAGAACAAAATAACCTTAACAATCAATCACACTAAACAAAGGAAGCGCGAAAAATACACTTTTTTTTTAAAATTTAAAATATTTAATCATATAATCTTTTGCCAGTGATTCCATTTAATTAGTATCTTCTCGTTTAAAAACGCATCCACTATGTGACATGCGTATTTTAATCGTAAATAAACTCTGGTATTATATAATTACAAACGAGCGGCCGTCGCTACTGCCAGTTGTTGCCAGTGTGGCATTGCTAAAGCAATAATGGCCAATGGATTCGTTCGGCATATACACAGTCCAGTCACTTTAATGTGACCACCACCTACGTTTGATGTAAACCTGTAATAAACCTCACAGACGGCAGATGGCAGCACTAACAGTGGCGGGAATATAAAGCTTGTCGGGTGAAGCGGAAAACAGAGCTGTAGTTGTCGTAAGGTAAAACGGAGCGTTTTATTGGACGTCTAAAAGCTCTTAATCTTTGCTTTTCGGATCAAGAGCGAAAGCGGCTAAATTTGTAAAGGTTTCGCGTGCGGCCGTGGTTACGGTGCGAGGCAAAACGGCGCTCACCACAATCGGCGCCGAGGCTACTGTGGCGCACCACGGGCCGCATATGACAAGGGAGAACGACGACTGCGGAGAAGAGTATGGGCAGATAGACATGAAACTGTAGAGCAACTGACCGCCCTCACGAACCAAGGGGGCTTTGAACAGGGTCTTCTGAACAACCTATCAATGAACGTTGTTGCCTTCGCAGCTGGCGCCTGGTCTTCATTCACCCATGCTGACTGATGTTAACCATGCGACCAAGGTTAGAACTTGCACGCCAATACTGCAACTGGAAGTCAACTGAGTGGCAACAGGTGGACCTTTCAGATCTATCACGTTTTCTGCTCCATAGGATGATTTTTTCGTTGGCTAATACGGCGTGAAGTATCTGAACGCAAACACCCAACAACAATCGCCGGACGGGTCCAGGCCGAAGGAGGGAGCGTGATGTGTGGGAAATGTTTTCGTGGCATTCGCTGGATATCGTCATGGACAACACAATGGAACAGCAAGTATGCAGCCTTCCTTATGGACCATGTCCATCCCTATAAGCAGATCGTTTTCTTCGGCAAGACTGCATCGACCAGCAGGACAATGCACCGTGTTATAGTGCTCGCAGTGTACGTGGGTGGTTCGAAGAGCAACAGGATGAGTTTATTGTATTCCCATGGTCACCAAATTCAATGGAGAATCTGTGGGACCATCTCGATCGCGCTGTTCGCGCCTTCGATCCTCAACCGAGGAACCTAGCGCTGCTGGCCTGGCACTGGAGTCGGCTTGGCTCCACATCCCTGTCGGCCCCATCCAGAACCTAATGGACTCTCTTCCTGCACGTCTCGCGGCGGTCAGCTGCAAAAGGCGGTGATTCAGGATTTTGATGCGAAGTCTCATGAATGAGACTGGTATATATTTCGCTACACAGCAATTATAATGGCGCTGAGAAGTAAATGCAAATGGGTCGACAAAAAGTAATAATGAAAACAATATTAGTCATTGGTATTAAATATAATATTGTAATATTCAAAACAATGGGTTTAAAAATAGTTACACGAATTATATTTCTTTGTCTTAGCATGCTACTTGTGAAACAATTCTAATGCTTCTTCTATTTTCACACTTATTAAAATTCTCTTAAAAATTGCGATATCTATTTATGAAATAATTTAAAGATCTAATATCTTCAAATAGACTTTAATTCACAATAGAATCTCAGAGGTTTTTACAGCGCATCTATCACTTAGCGGTTAAACCCAACGCAATCAGTTGTGCTACTTGTCCGACATTATCGCACCACCAGACGTCGTATTTAAAAAAATATTTGTAAAATTTTCGTGTGTACACCACGGGATGTAAAATAGGCAACACTATAGTAGACATACGCGAGCACCATGAGTTATGTTTCAGAAGATTTCGATCTGAGTAGTTCGCTGTTCTAATTTATGTAGTTTACGGGCGAAACGTTTATGAATTTATTTCCAGAATAGGAGACCAAGAATGAGTAACGAAATGGCATGAAAGAAAGAATGTTTTCTAAACTAGTTATTTGTAATTTATTATGTAAAGTGTATTTAGCGTTTGTAAACCAGATCTGAAACCCCTTATTTCGTCTTAGTCAATTGCAGGGACTCCAACTCTGATTGCAAAAATTACGACAAAAATGTCAATTTTAAATTTCGAATAGTATATGTGACCTTACTTTAAGATCTAATTTTTTAAGAAGAGAATTATGAAAAAAATCTATCATCAGTATTTCAAACATTTGCAATTTTCGAACATTTCTAGAGTTCAAAGAAAATGGAACCTGTGCCATATTTAAAAGAGTACTTTGCTCTATTCCAGGGGTAAAATAATCAAACATTATAGACCGTTTTGACAAAAATTAAATATTAAAATTCCCTACATTTCACTCAAAACTACGCAAAAACCTTTCACATTTTTGACAAATCTCAAACGATTATATTTAAATATTTAACTTCAAAAACAAACAAATCTGTTTGAAAAATCTCACATGATTTTATTTAAATATTTAACTACAAAAATAGACAAATCTGTTTTTGAAGTTAAATATTTAAATAAAATCATGTCATATTTTTCAAAAATGTGAAAGGTTTTTGCGTAATTTTGAGTGAAATGTAGGGAATTTTAAAACTTAATTTTGTCAATACGGTCTATAATGTTTGATTATTTTTTTATTTCTTAAACAAATTTAAGAAAAAATCTCTATTTTCGATATTGTAGTGTTAGGAAGAATCCTAAATTGTTGGAACTTTTGAAATTCTCGGAAATCTAGAGATCAACAAAAATGGTACCTAAGCCATTTTTATAAGCGTGCTTAGCTCTAATTCAGAAAATAATCAATAGAATATTTTCAAAATATTGGCGCGTAGCATCGCGTCTGACGTTTACCTTTCTCCACGTGTATACAGCGGAACAATCCTCGCACATTGCGTTCCGTCTTCCACAAGCACAACGCAACGTTCTTGCTGAACAGATGGATCAATCGTATACTCTATGATGAACACCATGAAGAACATACGTACGCGGACGCACACAATTAGTGACATATCTCAAGCAATTACTAACAAATCTCTGGGTTTTTCAACAGTTTTGCATACGCACTAGAACTTAATGATTAAATATTGTTTTCAATTAGTGTTTTACAAAATGTATACGATATATCATTATGTTCGTAGTTAAAACTACTTTGTATATAATTCTCAAATATTCGAACTTGATACTGCCTAGAAGTTTGAAGAAAATTTGTATTAATTAAGATATTTAACAACCTGCGAGATGCTATAAGCAACTCGCCCTCGCGAAGAAAATTTGAACTGCTTCCGCAATCCATATGCTACCGCGCCTGGTGGCTAATGAATTAAATGATTTGATCTGAGGCTTTTGTACAAGATACGTTTGCGGAATCACAGCAGTCACGTGATTTTAAGCTCATATTGGCAATTGCCAACCTTCTCGAAAGTCATTGGCCTTGCAGCGGAATCGAAAATAGGGAACGGATGTGACTTTTGCAAATCCTCGGTGTTACAAAACCAGGTACTGTCACCGATGCAGTGATCTGAAATGTCCAAAGAAAGGACAAATTATTTTTGCGTAAAGAAAATGAGAAATATGTACTGTAAAGATTAGAAATCATTTAAACCAACCGAATAACAAAGGGATGCGACTCATCTCTCGCAGTCATTGACGCTACGCCACTGGTAAGTAGTATGCGAGACAGTAAAAAGGTTGAATGCCCCGTCCTTGAAGAAAAGTTCCAAATTGCTTCCTGGGCCTTATTGACAGAACCTGGCCAGGCAAAATAGCAGTTAAACCATTGTTCTGTAATACGATTAGTTCTTTCAGAGGTGTCGCTGACTTCCCTAGAGGGCATTTCACGTTATATGTTGTGATCATTCAATACTAACGCAACAAGCAGTTTCATGATAGATTTGTTCTTAGTTGAGAACGAAATGACACTTCAAAAGTGCTTACGTTACAGGCACAGCACGTCAATTTTATGACCTAAATCTTGCAAAGAATTGAGCAGTATTGCAGTCTAACCACGGGGACAAGCGTCTTTGAGAAAACTGTTCCGGAAAAGTGATGATAAAATCTTCAGACCATGTTGCATCCACTGAACAATCTAGGATGAACTGTTGGTTCATTGCATACTACATTACACAACGAGGGAAGTTTCAGTAATAACGTGAGTATAACTTTTTTCAAAAATGCAACAAAACGATATAGCTTACGTATTTGTTTTATCACATTAATACCTAAAAGCCATAGATTTTTAGAGAAACGTGTCGGATTCTGCCAAAACAAATAGTAATGAACTGTTTCTTACACATGCTCTGTTGTTCCACTTGAGACAAAACACGGCCAGTTTTCGATTAAATCATGCCTAAAGCGTAATATAGCTACTTGTTGACGAAACATACCGATCCGTACGGTTGAGGCAGCCTATATCTACATGTTAACGCTGAAACTCCCTGTTTAGCTCAAGCTTCCCGCTTTTCCCCATTAGTTCGGCCGTCCTGTCCACTTTCCCGTAAAGCGATTAGCGGCGTCCCACAAGGCCGTCGCTCGGGCCGCATTCTCGCATGCAGGTCGTCACGCGTGAGCGCCCGTGCACAGCGGCGCTCAGCTGTTTCGCGACTTACACACAGGCGTCGGCCGGCATCTCTTGCTCTCCAGATCGCCGTCACTCGTCTCTCGCTCCAGCTGCACTGATAGCGCCGCCTGAACTTAAGCCGGCACTCGTCCTACTCCTCCTCGCCCCGCCCCGCCTCGCCCCGTCCTCGGGCCTAACTGGCGATGCCCAGTGGCCTCTCGCCAAACCGGTTTGTTAGTCGTTTTTCCTCATCGCTAAGGGCACTCATTTTATTTTATTTGCCTTTGTTTTCTTGCTGGTGGAGAACTGGTCGCACAACGGTTTTTGTTATTTTGCATAGGTCGCGACTTGCCTCTGTGACAGATAAGATAAGTGTGTAGCTGTTTACATTGCTTGCTTTGATGCTTTCGTCTTTCTGACTTCGTTAGGCACGTTAGGAACGTTATGCATAAATGGCCGAAATCATCGTCGTTATATATAGGAAAGATAAGAATCCTGATATCACATTCATCGAGGAAAATACTTGTCGGGAAGAAAAAACTAGGACAAAAAGTTTTACAACCGACATAAATATCTTATGTTTAAGGATTGGCCTCAGCACGTGACTAAACGCTGCATCATCGTACATTGCTAATGGGAGTATTTTAATATTTTGGAGGAAATGGATGACGTTATGCTAAACCTGGGATTTCCAACCTTTTTCGTTCATCGACCTCTTTTAAACGAATTCTTGACTTTACCGACCACCCACATAACTGTACAAATTATATAGATAATAGATCTATATCATTCATAATTCTAAAAGAGAATTTCTTAAAGATAACAATTTCGTACACCTGTATTTTGATAAAAATCTAGATTTTCAATCCTCAATCTATAATGCTTCCTCTTCAGAGTAGCTGAGTTTCTAAAATTCATTGCTGTGTGACCAGTTCCTGTGGATTATGTGGTTTGTGATGGTTAGCTATAGCAACACGAAAATTCCAAGTGGGGTAAAATACCTTGAGGAGAATTGAGGTAATTCTGATAATTATCTTTTTAAGTTCTTAAATATAAAAACCTTTCTTTTGAGTTGTAAATCGTTTGACAATAGCTACAGTAAAGTGAACGTGCATCAAAGAACAAATTGGATGTAGTATTAAAAGATCATAGTAGACATATATAGGGCAATCGTTTATGTAACAATCACTTTCGGGCATATCGGAAATCCTTTTCGTCTCTATTTAAATTGATATTTATTCCATTTAAAATATTGTTCAAGAGAAGGGCAGTTCTATCAAACTGCAAAAGTGATTATTACGTAAGTTCTGTCGAACTGCAGTATCGATAAAAACCTTTAATAGCTATATATCTAGAATAGCTGGCACATATCAGACGATTTTTAAATAGCCATTCTTTGTTTATTTACCACATATAGTGTTTCTTAGTGCCAAGAGTTTACATAAAAATTGAAAGATAATATAACGAATTTAATACACATCAAATGAGGTTTAATCTGTTAAAAGGATTTTTTTACAAATTAAACATGACTGCGAAAAAAAGAATATGCTTAATATTTTTCACGTACATCTTATACGTTACAGGAACCAGTCCATGCATTGACACTTTTACAAGGTAATACGTTTTACGTAATACGTTTCTCAAGGTAATACGTTTCTCAAGGTAATACAATTTTTTTATTCTATGCGTCTCGTTAAATTGACTGCAAGGTCCGTCAGTTTACAGACAATGCACTGACGTATTATTCACTAATTTATTATTCACTATGACACACTTAAATCACAACTTCCTTCTTTTCGAGATGTTTCTGCAACGATTCTCCGACCTTGAAATGATCAAGCTGCGAAATTATTAAACAAAATATAAGGTATTTGTTACATTTGTTGCGACCGGAGACCGCGCGAGCGTTCGCATCATCACACGCTGCGAACATTTTGAAGTTATGTTACTTATCAGTATTTTGTCTGCGACGGTCACATGAAACCCTTTTGAAGCGGTGGGATGAAACACTTTTGAAGTCTTTGTCGTTTCTTTAATTCATCACGAATCCTATACAAGAGAGCACCGTTTTCTTGCGTCACGTTACTTCGCTTGTCTGTACATATTTATTAATTAATATGATCAAATTCCTACTTTTGAATTCACGACGGGAAAAAACACCGATTCGCGTATAGGCATTAGATTACTCGCACAATACACGTCTGGCAACGTTTATGGTGGCATATCTGTGTGTATGTGTGTAAACAAGTAAATGGAGGGGAAGACGGACTGATGGACAGGTTCTTGGTGTGACGGGAAAGAAATAATAGAGGAGAGTGTAGACAATGCATTTAGGCAACAGAAAGAGGGGGAGAAATCACCATCACCGTTGAGAAAATAGTCTGCAGGAGTCTCTACAGATGTGCGTGTTGAGCCAGCTGACCAGGTTGACAGTCAAAGAAAAAAAAGCAAAGACTATTCCAAACATCGTGTGTATGGAATTACGTCAGTTCATATTTTCGCCTATTGCCTATTGCCCAGCCTACGGTATCGCCCAACCGGTTAAAAATTTTATCAAATTATTGTGGGGATGAAATACGTAATTACGAGTATTTATACTTTACAAATGGGTAGTAGGCATCAAATTTGTGAAGATAGTAATGAGAAATTACGCCTAATGATGCAGTTTCTTTGCGGTCGTTCACGTGACAAGGACATTGACAAAGGAGTCTCGGCGAAAGCATCGAGGTTCTTCGATTATTCGGAGTCGTTCGAGTGCATCTTTTAGCAAACCATGATTAAAAATTTAGATCGTGTAAACTTCGTGTCTGTACGTTATAAATTCATATGAAAAGATAGAAGCAGTGTGTGAGAAGCAAAATTTCTCGCGATTCAAAATTTAAGATTTGACTTAAATGAGTTCAAGCTGTTGTTGAACTTAAACTTGACGAACATCAAGTTCCGCATCAGCGAAATGTTTCTGAACCCTTGATCCAGGATCAAGCGAAAACTTTAAATTAACTCATGGTTTCTTCAGTCAATTACTCGTGTCCATACGTCCTTTTGATAACGAATCAGCTCAATTTTTTAAATTGTTACACGTTTCTCTCTGGGCCTGCTGATGCCGAACAAATGCAGTTTTATGAAAATGTTTTTGATAAAGAATATTGCTGAGAGAATGGGACATGCGTCTGAAATTTTTTAAGAGACAAAATGAATCGGCGAAAAACTTGGAAGAAGTCGTGGATTTTCTGTGAATGTATGAATGGGCAAGGGCTTATCCCAGAGTTTGTAGGTTTTGTTCGCCTGTTGATCATGTTTCGTGGATCGTCTTGTTCAAATGAAAAAAGCTTCTCGGTATTGCCTCGACTCAAAACGTATATGCGATCAATGTTGCAAGATTGGCACAATAGTATTGCGAATTTACATGTTTATAGCGACATGATCGTCATAATTGATCTGCCAAAATTGTTAAATGAGTTTATATAAAAAAAGCAAAGTGCAGTGCAAAAATGAACGGAAATGAAGTTTCATAAAATAAATATGATGACAAATAAATGATATAACAATCTGATTACTCCCTAATTTTAACAATGACAATTTAAAATAGTTCTGTTCTTTATATTTCCCTTAATATATCTTTTCGGTGGGAGATTGGGGGCAGGGATGTAGCAGGAAGGAAGGGGTCCCTCGTCTGGGTCAACTGCCCACTCAAACATCAACTGCCGGAACTGTGTGCAATGGTTACAAAATATTGAACGTTTTTTAACTTGCCATTGGATTTTCCCCGTGCGTATTGGGAGAAGTATTTCCCTCCGCCATAATATGTCGTTGTGAATGTCTAGTTATAATTTGATGTGTTTCTAACCAACCTAAGCAGCTATGTTTTCGGACGTCCCATTGCAGAAATTCGAAATGTGGCTTGTGTCTGCAATAAACGTGAAATTTACTTTTAAATCCAACTGATGTAATAATATTGCAGGTGCAATTGCGAAAATAAGTATGAGGTGAATTTTGTTTTATTCTTTGTCGTCGGCTGCGCCGGTTGCACCAAATTTGTTACGTTTCTTATCCTAATTGTAAGGAGAACGACGGATTCGAAAGAGGGGTGTCAATTTATTATTGCTGTGTTGCTCTACAGAGATGTTAATTACCACGTTCATTTAATATATTTCTGTAATCAATGATATCTTTATTCTACCTATCACTTGTTCATATTGTGCTGTAGACCACCAATTGATTCTTTTATCAAAATGTTATCGACCCCCTGGGGGTCGAGTCCGACTTCGTTGGAAACCCCTGAGCTAAGTACTTTGTCATTACGTAATAGAACTCATTGGTGATGGTCACAACCATGGCATACGTCGCGTCTGCGGAAACTATAATCCAGGCAAACTGCACTAGCAAAAAGATATATACCGTTCCTGCAATTACAGAGCTTGACAGTAATTTTAATGCACAAAACACTGAAGGATGTTGGTCATTCGGTTGGTAGGATGTGCGAGTAAAAATTACAGCTCAGGTTTTTATGGTATAAGGTTATTATTTACGGTACAGCTGAAGTGGGATATAAGGACCAGTGGATTGCAATAATTGACCAACGAGGCCTACCGGCCGTGTTGTAAAGTTTGTTTGTGAGTAAAACGTTCATAATCTTAGTGACATACGTAACTTTACCCAATACTACTTTATATTTTATCATTATTTGTAAATTGAAATGTTTCTTTGTTAGACGTTTCTTAAGCCTCCTCCCCAAAAAGGTGTAGCCTAATTGCATCCCATTCGATTTTCCTTTTAGTACAAGGTCAGGTCAGGTCAGGTCAGCTCGGTCAGATGTCAGTGCTTTTAAAATCACTCTTTCGTGTTTCAAGAACTTGAAAAGAAAAATAGAAAATTCTTGTTTTTATTTAGATCATTTTGTATTTTTCTAGTATTGTAAAGGCCAGATAATGTAATGCCGAATTACAAGAATTGTTTTTAGTCAGATAACACGCACATTTCCAAAGATTCTCTCGGGTTCATCTGTGTCTTATCGAGGTTTCTTCTCGACAGGTGCGAGAACAAATATTTGGGTTTCTCATGAGTGGAAACTTAATTTAATTGTTTCCTCCTTTCC